GGGCGCCACTGGTGTATTTACACACAATTTTATCTTGCCATAGCCGCATGACAGTAACGGCGAAGATGTAAATCAATTTATGTATCTAACAAAGCTTGTTACGCTTAAGTTGTAGTATGGTGTAAGATTGTAAAATTTTAAGATAAAATTGATTAACTTCTGTAAAATTATTGCTAATACTTATGTAAGACCTTGTACCTTGCTGATCGTTTCACATGTAATCACAGCCGAAAAAATCAGCGACTGAAAAGTTGGGCCAATAGAAAATACGGACTGATCTAGTAATACTAATAATGTAATACTTACTAGGGTAAGGTAAGTTATGTAATTATCCTTTTAACTAAATAAAACTTTATTTACATAAATAAGAAAACACTTGGTCAGATGGATCAAGGACTTAGAACCATATAAACTACCATTGCATAAAGCACAACGGAGATAAAAAAAAATAAAGAATAGATCAATTTTTAACATTTCATCACTCAAAAAAAGGAATGAAAATATCATATGATAACCTCTAAAAAAATTATCACTGTTTATATTCTCCTTGAATTAGATATTCCAATTAAAATTATATAACTTTGTCCTTTTACTGTTTTATTTGTGGCTTGAGAAACTTGATATATAAGTTAAATTTTTTAAAAATTATGATAAAAAAACATTTAAAATTACATTATTTCATTAAAGTACCATGAAAAAAAATAAAACAAATTTATTTATGGTTTAAAAATAGATTATTTTAATTTTTTTAGTAACAATTTATTTAAATAACATAGTTTTAAATATTTTTCTTTCTAATTTTTTTTTAAATCTAACTAACAAACATTTTTTTTCTCTCTCTAGTCTCTATATATTTATATGAGACTGATATTTATCACCTAGATATTTAAAAAATTATGAAAAAAAGCACTCCACAAGTTGTTTTAATAAAATAATATAAAAAAAAGGACTAAAATAGACAGATTGTTAATTTTTCAAAATTAAATTATTTTAATTTTTCCTCAGTATATAATTCCTTTTAAATGAAGTAATTTTAAGATATATTTTCTCTTAATTTTTAAAAAATCTGACTCGTGAACACTTCCTATCTATATTAACATAGTATATTTATTTAAGGAATTCAATTTCAAGCCCTCCGATTTTGGGTCGACGGCCCCGGAATGGACAAAGTTTGCTCTCGAATACAGTAAGGAATTGCTGATGTAATGGGTTACACAAGCATTAAAGAAAAATGGGTCGCAAAGTTCTTTTACCAAAAGAGAAGATGTGATGATAGATTCCTTATGGAAAATTGAGGCCTCTTATACATAGATAAATTATCATCATCTTTCATATTATCATGGTAAAACGTAATCCAATTGAACAATATAAATAGATGTTACACTCACACCTTCTTCATTCACCCAATCATCTTCAATCTTCCCTACTGTACTTTTTCTTCTTCTGATATTGAAAACTCCCACAATCTTACCACCATGCCTCACCCAATCATGCTCTTTAAGAAACCTTTGAAGCCTACTGACATCACCAAGAGGCTAGCTATCCGGACAAAGAGTCTCGAATTCCTTCCACATTTCAACGGAGGCCATGCTGTAAGATTGAACGTTTTGTACGAGGGAAGGGCTTGGCCGATGGTATGCAGCACTAGGAAACAGGGGCACAAAAAACCTGTTCTCTCTAATGGTTGGATTCCCTTTGTTCGCGAGAACCACTTGAAAGTTGGTGATGTAGTGACCCTCTACAAGGAGGGAGATGAAGCAGGATTGCAATACCGGATAGAGGTGGACAGGGCAACCAGGGTACCTCCACCTAATGGAAATTTGGGGGTCGCAATGCCTCACAAGACTAGAAAGAAAACAGGATTCAAGCTGTTCGGTAAATTATTATTCAATAGTTCTAAGAAGATAAATTTAGAATTGGCCAGCGGTCCAAGGGAAATTGTTCTGAATTTAGATTTGACTCTAGCACCGCCAGGGAAGTTACCAAGCCAGAAAACACTGTAGAGAATCAATATATTTCTACTTTCTATCCTGATTTGTCTTTTTGTAAGAGTTTTTAGGAGAGCAAGCAGCTATTACATATTTATGTTTAATGGTGAAGGAAGAGGGATTCCTGGGGGCTCAATCCTACAATTTAAGGCTTAATTCTTATTGGCTAATAACTTTAGCTTTTAGATTGTGTGATTTAAGTTTGAATCTCAAATTTTTATTTGTGAGCACCTTCTTCGTTACATATGCTACATATAATATGTATCCCTTAGACCTTAAAATTTTGTTCTTGTTTAAAGGAGAGCCTTTTGTCCAGACAACATATTTCATCATCTTTTCATTTTTGATAGGCAACATATTTCATCATCTATTACTATAAAGAAAGAAAAGACCTGGACAAAATGTTGTGGGGCCACAAAAGTCCAAAAAGAAGAAGTGGAGGAAGAAGAAGAAGAAGAAAGAAAGAAAAGCAAGAAGAAGCGTGCGATACTACAGAAAGTGAGGCACTCTCTCTCTGCCTCTCGACCGACCGCCCAGCCGCCCGCCTCATATTTCATCAACTATTACTACATATAACTTACTCGCGATGCTATCCGATTTGAGAGGAAAATAGATTAACAAATCGCACACAAAGCAGAAAATCG